AACCCAGTTCGACAATGGTCTCTTGGCTCCACTTGACATACCCCAAACCCACTCTACTCCATTTTTAGTTTTTTATTCTCTTCCTCGATCCATTTAAATACAACGACAGAATCTCTTTGGCTCTCTGTCTTATGGTTTTGTTGCTATGAAGAGACACCATGACCAAAGCAACTCTTTTCATTGAGGAAGGAAAACATTTAGCTGGGGCTGGCTCACAGTTTCAGAGATTTAGTCCATTATCATCATGGCAAGAAGCCTGATGGCATGCAGGCAGACACGGTGCTGGAGAAGGAGCTGAGAGTTCTACATCTGGATCCACTGGCAGGAGACTCTCACAAGAAGCCTAGCTTGAGGATACAACCACAGTGCCTGCCTCCACAGTGACACACGTCCTCCAAGGCCACTCCTCCGAATAGTGTCAATTCTTATGGGCCTAGTTCAAATACATGCGTCAAACAGGGTGGCAGGACCTGTAGCCATCTTTTAAATGTCATCCTTAAAGGAGATAGCATCCCTCCCCGCTGGCTACTGATGGTGAGGAAGGTAACTATTCTCTGTGGCACCTTGCTCCCAAATACAGAAACCTTTCTTGTCATAGGAACAAGTCTATTTGTCCTTTGAATAAGTAAACACAGATAGCCCTAGAGCTCCTGTACACAACCCAAGTGGCCTCAAGAGCGTGAAGATTTTCCTCCCAGCTCACCCAACCCTTGAATGTGATGCCCACTGTTTCAGGGGTGTTGAGTTCAGACTTCATCCTGCCCTCTCTCCTCTACTGCACCCCTTTCGTTCCTTGCAGCGCCCTTCTAGATAAAAAGTCCTGGCTTACTATGTCTGGATTTGTTTTTCTCGGCTACCCTCAACTTTCTTGACTCTCTCTCTCTCTCTCTCTCTCTCTCTCTCTCTCTCTCTCTCTTCTGTCTCTTCTCTCTCTCTCTTCTCTCTCTCTCTCTCTCTCTCTCTCTCCCTTCCTCCCTCCCTCCCTCCCCCCTCTCTCCTCCTCCTCCTCCTCCTCCTCCACCACCACCACCTCCTCCTCTTCCACAGGGAAGGTTCCTTTATACACAATTCATACCTCACCACACTTCCTAGACACTCCATAACATTCTAGAATCTGACAGGCTTTGTCCGTGTATCCTCCACTTTTTTCCTCAAACAAAAGCTATCATATTTACAGTGAGATTCGGAAACCCACCTCAGCTACTGATGGATGAGGCCATTTGTCTTCTTAGTCCCTGTTACTACTCAGAACACTGGCTGGCATCTCTTTCTCCCTTTTAGAAACAGCCACTGTCGGTTTGTTCTTGTAGTTCTGAAGATAGAACCCAAAGTTCTGCACAACTAGGTAAGAATTCTATCACCCCAAGCCCTTTAATGTTTTTTATATGTGTTGGAAGCCACCATATGGTGCTGAGGACTAAACCAGCAAGTGCTTGTGACCACTAAGCCTCTTCTCTCCACCACCACCACAGCTCTTTATAAAGTTTAGCTTAAAACAGTGTCCTAATCAGTTGCTCAAGCTGGCACTGAGCTTGAAATTGTCCTGCTTCAGGCTCCAGAGGCCTGCCATTCCATACCTGGCATGGTAGCTGTTAAATTAGGAAACAATTATAAGGACAATACTCCTACTTTTTTTAAACAAAAATTCATACTGATTTATGGCATACCATGTGCTTCTCTGACTAAGGTTGAGAGTGCACTAATTTATAGGTGTAACATAAGTATTTAGAAGAGTTTGACATGAGCATTTAGCACAACAACAGTAGTAGGCTCCCCACTGCAGCCTCTGAGCTATCTATGGACTTTTGGCCAGGTTTAGCCATATTAGTATAATGGTATCGGTCACAAGTCCTGTGTTGTGTGAGAGGGCCTGCTTTTCGTCCCAGCCGCCCTGCTAGCTTAACCCCTGAAATAATCACACAGAAACTGTATTTATTTAAACACTGCCTGGCCCATTATCTTTAACCTCTTCTTGGCTAACTCTCACATCCTGATTTAACCCATTTCCACCAATCTGTGTATCACCACAGGTCGTGGCTTACCGGGAAAGATTCTAACCAGTGTCAGTCTCAGACAGGAGCTTCATGGTGTCTCTCTCTCTGCCCTTCTTCCCAGCATTCAGTTCTGTCTACTCCACCTACCTAAGTGCTGCCCTATCAAAAGGCCAAGGCAGTTTCTTTATTCAACCAATGAAAGCAACACACAGACAGAAGAACCCTCTACACCAGTCCTGTCCTGCAGAGTCAGCCTCAAATCCAATTAGAAACCAGTTGGTTACCACCATTAACAGCCATGCCATTATTGCACCAGCAGGTGGATCTTTTCTGGCAGGCTCTTATTGTAGCACAGAGTTCAGCATTGGCGAAAGATCTTTGATGTCTTTCCTCCCCCCACCAGCCAGCACTACAAACGCTAACCCATAGGGAGGAAGGTTCCCTGTCAGTTAAAGATGGACTTCTTTATTCCTGCAACCAAAGTGTGTGGTGTCTTCAGCAATAAGATCTTACCATCAAGTTATGGTGGGCAACCAAGCTCAGCATTTCAAATGCATTATCTCATTTAGCTCCTCATCACAACCCCACAATGAAGTTATTGCCCCATTTTACAGAGAAGAACAATAAGACTGCTAGACTTGCCCAACTTTTACAGAAAGGCAATACTAAATTTTCCATATTAAAATTTAGCATATATAAAATAATGGACTGCATAGTGAAATTTTCATATACAACCTTGTATCTTACTCATTTTTGTCCCCCACCTCCTCCATCCCTGCTGGTCTTCTTCCCTGCCCAATTGCAGTGGCTCATATTTATAATTTTAGCACTTAAGAGACTGTGGCAGGAACGCTGCAGCAAGTTCAAGATGAGCCTGGACTACACAGTGAATTCCAGTCCATCCTGAACCAGAGTGAGACTGGACAAGAGAAGGAAAAGGATCTGGTGATATGGTATAGCAGGTAAAGGTACTTGTTGCTAAGCCAGGTGACCTGAGTTTGATCCGAGACCCAAGTGATGGGAGAAGAAAGCCGATTTCTGCAAGTTGTCCTCTGATCTCTACATGCGTGCTGACATACATACACCATGACATGTGTGTACATACACAAACTTAAAACTAGACTCGACTAGAAATAATGTTATGTGTTTATTCCACCTATTCTCTCTTATTCTCTGCCCTCCCTCCCTCCCTCCCTCTCTCCAGCAATCCCATCCTACTCTCAAGTCCTTCCTCCATACCCTTATGTATAAGTCTAGCGTCCATGTGAAGGGAAATGTGATACGGTCTTCCTGAGTCTGCCTTTTACCTAACATAACGATCTCCAGTTTTTTCCTACAAATCACATAACTTCATTATTCTTTATGGCCAAAAGAGAAAAAACAAAAACAAAACCCCTCGATTGTATCGTATTTCCTTTATCCACGTGTCTGTCAACAGGCATCTAGAAGATTGCACAACTTGATGATTGTGAACAGTGCTGTTGTACACACAGATGTGCAGGTATCTCTATGGCATGCTGACGTAGGGTCCTCACTTGTATACACTACAGTGGCACACATCGGACATAGAGTAACTCTATTTTTAGTTTTTTGAAACTCCTTCGGGCCTCTGTTTCCATAGCAGCTGCTCTGATTAACATTCCCACCAAGAGTTTCTCTTAGAATTCATATTTGAACACAATCTCTATAGAGATCACCTTCAAGACAAAGGCTAAACGCTCATACCCGCCCTGCCCCAGAACATAGTCTCCTCTTGAGAATTCCTTCATAGTCACACCACAGGCATCTGTGCATACTGTTCTCTTCAGAGAATGGATGAGTGACTGGCATTCAAATCACATACACACACACCAACACCCCATGCACATGTAAACACACAACACACTTGCACGCCCCCCCCCCCCCCACATTTCCTGAGTAGACCCAAGACTCGACTTAAAAACTTCATATTTTTTTGTTTTTCGAGACTGGGTTTCTCTGTAGCTTTGGAGCTAAAAATTCATTTTCTATAGATTCTTTCCTGATCTGTCCAGAGATAGCCTCTTCCTTATATCCTCTGAGCTCTTTGGGGCATGACAGAACTTGTTTGCTAGTAGGACACAGTATGGGGGATAGCAAGGTTGAAGGACACCTGAGACGGCTCTGAATGAGGACTTCAGAGTCACCACAGGGGTAGAATGGTGAATCGCACAGGTTGCACGACAGTATCAATGATTAATGAAACCGAAGTGGTAATGGGAACTGAGAGTCCTGCAGGCTCAAGTCAGCTCTGAGGGTCAGGTAATGAGTAACTTGAAGTCAGAGACGATAAGCTCTGTAAGCTCACCTCCATGAAGGCACACTTGAAGTCCCCACAGGAAGAATCCCTATCTACAGAGACTCCAGTCCCTTCCCCACAAAAAGAATCTACCTAAGTATGTGTCTCAGATCTTAAGCCATTCACACAGGTCCTGGATGTGTAATCTACACTCAAGAGAGAACCCCAGTGAGCTTGGGATGGTAAAACTGTTTCCTTAATTGATGTGGTTTGAAAAGTGTGCATCCCACTAACGTTCATACAAAAGCTTAGTCCCAGTGCAGCAGAACCCCGGGACTTGGTGACTAGATTTGAAGAGCTCTGACATCATGAGTGATCACTACTGTCACAAAGAGGTTGAGGGAAAAGGGTGTGGCTCAGTGACTGGGCATTGCATTAAAAAAAAAAAAAAAAAAAAGGCTGAACTCCCCGCTCAATCTGAGAATAACAGCCCAACAAATTTACATCAGTTTCAAGTGTATATGTGCTCATTTATACCAAATACTTCTACATAACCATGTATTCCCCGAGATCATAACAATATTTTGACTTGAAGATAGGGCCTTGGTCTAAGAATTCCAGCCCTCCAACATTCCAGAGAATAGTCGTATGTGTTAATATTATACATAGTTATTTGAAGAAAACTAGGCTCAGTCCTGAATGGCTGAGAGTTCTCCTCTGAGTAATCAAGAAGGAAACGTGAAGCAGACTGAACCCTCAGATATTTAATAGAGCGACCTCATTTACTATGTAATGGGTTCTAAGGAACACAGGTGGCCTGGACGAACTAATAGTCGACTGTCTTGGCAGGCTTTGTCTCCTCCATCTCGGAAGACAGCCAGCGGTAAGTGCGATGCCGCCGCAGCACCTCAATGGCCTTGAGTTCCAGTGGGGTAGCCTGAATGCCAAGATCTTCCAGGCCAGGCAGGTCAGGTGTTAACACATCTGAGATATGTATCTGTGAAGAGAGGACCACAGAGCATGTTGAAAACATCACCCCTAAATACTACCCCTAAAACATCGACACCCTCCAGCTGTCCTGAGGCTCGTCAATGGGGAGATACCTTTAGAGAACACATAGTAACCCTCGATTCTGGAACTCACTGAAGCAGAACAAATAGTGAAGATCATCAAAGACCAGAGGCAGGTCTCCCGCATCACTCAGGAACATAGGACAGTGATCCTGGACCAGCAGATCTATGGGCATGTGCACACAGATCTGAACCTAGTATAGCGAGGCAGGAGCTGTCTCTCCACCCAGGGATTCAGATAAGAGCTAAAATAGAAAGAACCCACCCCTATTTTCTTATGCTGGGTCTCTGGGTTCTGGCTCTCTACTTAAGTTTTAACTTATTATTCTGGTTTGGTTTCAGAATTTTTTGACAGCATTTTGGTGTGGGATATTTGTATAGTAAATGAAGATGTACTGCTATGATTAATGTAATAAAAACTTGAATGGCAGGGGAGTACAGCTGGGACTTCTAGACACAGAGAGAGCTCTGGGAAGAAGGAAAGCAGAGTCACCAGCCAGAAGCAGGGGAAGCAAGATGGGCAGCTCGGAGATGAGGTGATGAGCTTCTAAGAATGCAGATTAAAAACATGAGTTAATTTAAGTTATAAGAACTAGTTAGGAACAAGCCTAGGCTAAGGTCAAGCTTTTATAATTAATAATAAGCCTCCGTCTCATTATCTGTGGGCTGGTGGTCCCAATAAGAAAGTACTACTATATTTGGTGCCTCATGTGGGGTACCAGTTATTGTGGCTTCTTTTATTGTTTATCAAAAATAATGTTTGAGAATTAAATATTAGGAAATAACCTGATAGATCCACCTTCTTCTTCACCTTCCCAGACCCAAAAAGCCCATGCATCTCTTCAAGCTCCTCCCTATTCTATCTATGTGTCCCTCTATCTTCCCCTGAGTCCACCAGAAAACTCTATGGTACACTCCAGCCAGCTGAATGTGGACTCTGCCCTTCAAACCAAGGTCCCACTCAATTGATGGTCTCAGAACAACAACACAAATAAATTTCCTGCAACAGTGTCTCGCACTGTAACCCCTAGGAACCTTTTATGTAACCCAAGCTAACCTCAAATTTGTGATGCTTGCCTCAGCCTCCCAAATGTTGGGACTGTAGGTTCTAACACCATGCCTGGGCCCATTAGACTTTTGTCTTTTTTAACTCCAAATATACTCGTTCTGGGTTAAGAAACACTACAAAGTCAGAAGCCAAACTCATCCTGTTTAGGGAAGAATGACCATCAAAAAGCACCAAAGCAGAGCCTTCTGTGCACGGAACCACACCAGGTCCCATCCTGTGACCCCCAATAAACAACACAGAAAGGACCATAGTGTGTTTACTTAATTCTCTAGGGCTGTCTACAAACCAAACCCACTATACTCATACTTTCTCAGGCACCACGGTAAGAGCAAGTATCAGACAACGGGCACAAGCACAGGAAGGCACCATGGAAAGGTCTCTGCTTTCTAGTCAGCCTGTCAGAGGGAGACTAACAGCCACCGGTCTCTGTTCCCTGGCACTATTCTCAACTCTATGCTGTGCTTTAGCTCTTAGGGGACAGTTTGGCTGTGTCCTGTCAATAGAAAGAAAACCCACAGTACTCAGGCTGAGACACTGTCATCTTTCTATTTTATTTGGTATCTTCCCAGCAAGATTTGGGCACGCAGGGAGCAAATAATCAATGAATCAGACAAGCATGGTAGACATGAGAAGGAGCCAGGGCTTTGGAGCACAGTAGACTGCAGGCAGACAAGAGGGGCTGTTGCCTGGGTTACAGTGGGTAGAGGAGAGACAGTTATGCACTCTGCCCTCAGGACATGGCAAACCTCCAGTATTAGAAACAAGTTTAATGAAACGCTAAATGAACAAGCAGGTGTTGGGGTGGCCCGACCTGGCATCTACTGGGGGTTGCTGAGGTTCTAGCCCTTTACCATCTAACACAGAAGCCACTGGTCAAATGTGACTCAAATTTCAGTTTCAATGAACTAAAAAAAAATAGAGTTGAAATCTGGTATCTGCAGCCATGGTAGACATGTATCAAGTGCTCCACATCACACACTGCTGCTGGCAACGTGACAGTACAGACGGGCCACTCTGAGCACTGAGGGAAGTCCCGTGGGGCAAGGCTCATTTAGGTCTAGAAGAGGAATCTAAACTGCACAGGATTCCGAGACGTTTTATATGAACAATATACAAAGGGCCATCACTGAGATGAGAGCCCGAGGACAGAATACAAATTTGCAGCAGCAGGGTATGGTGGAGGCACATGTCTGCCTGGCACTTGGGAGGCTGAGAAAAGATGATCAGCATGAGTTCAAAGTCAGCTTGAGCTGCACCGTGAGCACCAGGCCAGCGAAGGGCACACAGTAAGACCCCGTCTCAAAACAACAAAAACACCTGATAACAGTAAAAAACAAACAAACAACAAAAACCAAAAAAAAAAACCCAGGCCGCAGTTCTAGTTACAATGTATGTCTGCACAGTGTAACAGCAGACTCCAGGACAGGAGAAAAACTGTAGCACGGCCTTTATCAGCAGCAGCTAGCAACTGGGAGGAGCGTAATTTACAAACAGAAATGAGAGCAGGTGAGGCTGTGACCCCGGCAGAACAGACAGCAGTCAGGACGGAGGGAGGCAGGAACGGAGCCTTCAGCACAGCCCACTGAGAGAAGGAGAGCCAGAGAACGCAGCTGCAAAGACATCATCTCAAATAGAAGAAATGAGGTCCTTTAGCAAATGCTGCTCACAGTGGGAGTGAGATGAGGTCTGCAAACTGAGAGGTGGCAGTGTGGTGCTGTGGGTAGCCTGGGAAAGGGCAGTTTTAGGGCAGAGAGGGATAAAATTTAATTCAAAGGAATTAAAGAAAGAATGAGGCAAGAGTATGCTGGGAACAGGTACAGACAGCTCTTCAGAGGTTAAGGTATGAAGGGAAAATCAGATAACATGGTGGCACACCTGTAATCTCAGCACTTAGAGGTAGAAGAAGATGGCCCAAGAATTCAAGGTCACCTTCACCTATTAGTGAGTTTTGAAAACCCAAAGGGCTGTAAGGGAACACAGCGAAGAGCGAAGTGACTGGAGGGCTCCAGGACCGAGTCTGTCTTCAGTGAGAGACACAAGTATGCATGTTTGAATGCTGACAGAAAAGACCTTACAGAAAGAGGACCACACTATCAGAGAGAAGACGGTGGAGCCAGGTGAGAATGAATGCAGGTTGGCCCAAAGCAGAAGGGCTAGCCTTGGCCAGCAGAAATCTCCCCCACCGGAGCCCTGCAACCTTCAAGCAAGTCAGCCAAACTGAACTGACTTCTCCAGCTCTACAGTGCTGTCTGGTGAGAGGTTTGCTATGCCCAGACTTACCCGCTCCACTTTGTCCCTTGTTGTCCAGGGCTCAAACGGACTCATTTCAAAGAATCTGGCGACCCACCTGGAAAGGAGACACACGTGGCCTGGGTGAAAAGTGTCTCTGCACTGGGCTTCAGCTTGTCAGACCCAGGAAAGAGGGGCTGCTGCACACAAGAACTCACCGAGGTTTTGTCTTTGTTGTTTCTAAGAAAATAACTTCTTGGCTCTACTGCTGTGAAGATATATCTAATTCAGCCTTCCTCCCTCCCTTCCTTTCTTGGATTTTTAAAACAGGGTCTCATGTACCCCAGGCAAGCCTCAAAGTCACTATGTGGCTAATGATGACCTCGAACTCCTAATCCTTCTGCCTCTACCTCCCAAGTGCTGGGATTAAAGGCATGTGCCATCACATCTGTCTAAAATCTACAGCGTGTTTGTGTGTGTGTGAGTGTGTGTGTGTGTGTGTGTGTGTGTGTGTGTGTGTGAGAATGTGTACGGGGTGCTAGGAATCAAACTCAGGGCCTCCCATGTGCTAAGCAAGTACTCTATTACTGAGAGCAATGAGCCCCGCCCTCTAGCTCCAGCTTTCTAAAGGCTTGAAAGAATGTTCCCACTGCAAAATAAATCCATGAAAAAGGAAGCCCTAAGACTGCTCAGAATTTCTCAAGCAGTATATAAAGTTCCACTTATAGCCACTCTTCCTAAGAGCAGCTCCCATGCCTGGGTCCACACTAACAGATCTCGTATGGACAATGCAAGGTACTTAGTGGGCCATGCCATCTGTACCTGCCAACCCTGACTTCACCCTCACCTTCATAGGCAACATGAAATGCCTCCCTCCTCCTGGTTTACAGTCCTCCATTGTACCAAAGTTGGTCCCAAATGACTCCGTGTTCCTTTGTGGAGATCTCAGGTTCTTTACATCACTGCCTTCACTAGCATGCCAGTCCACAAATATTAATGGGGGCCCTTCTGTGCACCAGGCAAAGTGCGGAGGCAGACAAGCATAGGGAATAGGAAGAGTTCAGTAACCTCAGACTCTAACCAGATTTGCATTATGCACACCTGCCTCTTCTTGTAATGCACGTGGCAGCCTAGTTTCTTCACCTGCATGTACTATGCATGCATGCATCTCTCCAAACATCAGACATAGCAACTTTAGACCCCAACCTGCATCTAGCTACCCAAATACTCCTCTCTGAATGAATTAAGTTTCTTCTCCCCTAATGACCATCAAACTTGGGACAGTTTCTTTTCAAATACATTTCCAGTGCACTTGGGTGCAAAGACTGGAAACTAAGCCAGTCAGAATGGGTTTTGGTGCATACTCAGTAAAGCGAAATTGTGTCCTCAAGTAAACTTTTAAGGAGAACCAATTTACCATCTTATATCTATGCAAAACTGGGCTTGCATGTGACTAAAATTAGTTGTATTTTGGAAACAGACATACAGAAAAATGATTATATGATCGAATCTGTTAATCAAAACAACTCCACAAGCTACTCTCTTTTGCAACCAAACTTCTCTCGAACCTCATAAAAGGAATCCCAGAACAATTGGTGTCCCCCAGTACCTTCCCCTATAGGCCGGCTGTCAGCATCAACAGCGTACCCCTCTATAATCTGTGCCACAACTTTGCTTTGAATAGTTTTAGTGCTACTTTTGCAAAATGAGCCCTTATCTTCCACCCTTTGCCTGATTCCTTGGGATCTGCTCTAGATACTGGAGAACAAGGGCAGCACTCTCCTCCTCAGACACTCGCGCTTGCTACCCCTTCCTAGGCGAAGCTCTGTTGCACGGTGGAATGCTTGCCTAGCAGGTAAGAGGCTCGGGTCTGAACCATCACCACAAACAAACACGCAAATCCTTTAAAAAGGCCAGATACAGTGGCCTGCACCTGTGATTCAGTGGTACACACGCCAGAGACAGAGGCAGGAGGCCTAGTCTACACAGCAAGTTCTAAGCGAGCATGGTATATGGAGCCAGAAAAACAAACAAAATGACTTTTCCTCTCAACCTCTCTTGACGCCTTAGAAACCCTACATTTGGCAGTTTCTCATCTTCTGCTAGTGTTTAGCGAGGGCAGTCTTCTGGCTTCTGGGGCCTTCTCCTCTGTCCCCCATGTCCACTCTGTCCCTGTCTACTATGTACGGTCACTGTGTCTCCTCTGACCTCGTGTCCATGCTCTGTCCCTGTCTACTATGTACGGTCACTATGTCTCCTCTGACCCCGTGTCCACACTCTGTCCCTGTCTACTATGCACGGTCACTGTGTCTCCTCTGACCCCGTGTCCACACTCTGTCCATGTCTACTGTGTACAGTCACTGTGTCTCCTTTGTCCCCGTGTCCACACTCTGTCCCTGTCTACTATGTATGGTCACTATGTCTCCTCTGACCCCGTGTCCACTCTGTCCCTGTCTACTGTGTACGGTCACTGTGTCTCCTCTGACCCCGTGTCCACTCTGTCCCTGTCTACTGTGTACGGTCACTGTGTCTCCTCTGACCCCGTGTCTACTCTGTCCCTGTCTACTATGTGTAGTCACTATGAGTGTGAAAGAAGTCAAAGAAAAGCCTCCAAAGGAGAATGTCCTCAATAAATGATCACCATCACAGTGTGCTGCGTTTTGTACTATTTAAATTTTTTGTCTTGTTTTGTTTTTTGGTTGGTTGGTTTTTTTTTGGTGCTAGGAATTGAAACAGGGCCTTTCAATAACTCAGCACACCGCACAACCACTAAGCTACACCCTCCAGCCTACAGACCACTGTACAACCACTGAGCTACACACTACAGCTTATAGACCACTGTACAACCACTGAGCTATACACTACAGCCTATAGACCACTGTACAACCACTGAGCTACACCCTACAGCCTACAGACCACGCTACCCAAATGTTCACCGCAGTATCTTAGGTGCCTAGAACACTACCTGAGAAATGTACGGCAATCAGTAAATATTTGACTAAATGAAGAAATGGATGCCATGTTGACTTATAAATCTGTCTCCGGCACATTAGACATGAAAATCTTTCTGCCAAAACTAAAATGTGCTCTGATGGTCCATAGAAAACATGGCCAGCAGAAGAACGGATGTGTGCTGCTATGCTGGGGAATGAGTTCAGGACTTTGCCCTTGCCAGGCAAGTGTTTTGTCACTGAGCTACCAACCCCAGTAGGTTTAAAATTGTAGTCCTCAAAGGGAAGAAGTGAAGAAAGAAAAAGAGGGAGGGAAGGAGGGAGGGAAGGAGGGAGGGAGGGAGGGGAAAAGGCATACAAAGGGACCAGGTCTGAGTCAGGATCCTTCTCCTTATCTACACCAAAGCCTGCCTTAACAAGAACTGGGAACCTTGCCCCCTGGTGGGCAGCTGGAAAGAACAAAGGGAGAACTGACTGTTCCCTCACACCAGCTCCCAAGCAAGAATCTTCTCCAAATCAAAACCCAGGGATTTTATTGCTGTGTTGGCACTGGGGACCAAACCCAGGGCTTCACACTGCCACAATGCTCTGCCTCTGAGACAGATCCCCAGCCCAACCCTAGGGTTTTAAACTGGAGACTCTGAAGAACTACCCATAAAACTCTGCTAAGGTCATCCTTGTTTGTTAAGGTCACCTACAGTTCCTTTCTTGGCCAGAATTACAAGAGATGATCAACACAGTAGAGATGTGTAGACTGGCCTTCTGTTAAAAAGTACTTCCTGGTACCCTGTGAAGGGATTAGGAATAGCACTTGTAGCCAAGCCTCTCATGGGTCGACACAGACAGACAGCACAGTACTTACCTGTAAGCAAATCGTGGCAAGGGGTAGGGGAGGAAGGTCCTGTGGGCCATGTCATAGATGTACTGCACCAGGTGAAAGAGCAGGTACCGATTCGGTCTGAAAACCAAAACACAACTTCACATAATTTGCCCCTATGATTTTCTACAAACAATGAACACTTTGCTTGTGAAAAAGGAAACACACTGTAACAGAGACAAGCACAGAAGAATCACCTGTTAACCTTCCTGCCAAAGACAGTCTATTTCACATTCTTGTACATACGTTTATGATGCCCCTATTATTTATTGTTTTGTTCCCTTTAAAATGGGTCTCACTGTGTAGCCCTGGCTGGCCTCAAACACACAGCAATCCTTTCGCCTCAGCCTGAGTCACCAAGCCTGGCTTACCTGGCATTTCTTTAATATACAAGATTAATTTTATTTCATATGTTTATGGTCATTTATACACCTTTCTTGCCTCTGATAGTTTCTCTCCCTTACAATAACCAAAACCAATTCCATCTTCTGAATTGTCACCCTTTCTACATAGGCAGCCTCCATGTATCTGGGACCAGGCTTTAATAATTAACCTTCACTTACATTTCAACTTCTACCCACCCACTTTCCTAATGCTATCTGCCTCAGAAAGATCATAACTGAGAGCAAAATGAAAATCATTCGCTATAAACCTTATTATTACAACATTTTACAAAAACAAACATAAAAATCCACCATGCAAAACGAAATGCCGGTAGCCGGGCGGTGGTGGTACATTCCTTTAATCCCAGCACTCGGGAGGCAGAGGCAGGCGGATGATCTCTATGAGTTCGAGGCCAACCTGGTCTATAAAAACTAGTTCCAGGACAGGCTCCAAAGCTACAGAGAAACCCTGTCTTGAAAAACAAAAAAGAAAAAAAGAAAAGAAATGCAGGTATCAGCTAGAGGAAGTCTCACACGGAACCCTCGAACAGCCCTTAAATCCCAGAAGGATTGTCAAGGCTCTCTGGTTTGTACATTGCTGGCAACACTAGACCATGGCTAAGCTACCTGTGTGCAAGGTGCCTCCTCAAGAGGCTCCACAGCAACACACTCCATCACGTATGACCAGACAAAGCAAAGACCCCTGGCTCACAATGAAAGGGGCCAGTATTTCACAGTTTGGCATTAAGGATCATTGGCAACAGATATCCTCAGCAAAGTCTGGGTCTGAGACCCTCTCCACTAGGCTTGTCAGCTAGATCCCTACACTGGTTAAGGTAAATACTGCCTTCTCTAGGGGAAAACAAACAAACAAACAAAAACCGAAAGTCACCAGCAGAAGAGCAAACCCCTGAACTGGCTTCACCTCTCATCTCTGCTCAGTGATTCAGATGACACTCTCAGCTCTGCTTGCCAATGAGTTCTCTACGGAACTGATCTTCTCTGGCCTCAACTTGCTCTTCTGAGCAAGCCATCCTGTCTACTGGCTGACATTCTCATGTTCCTGGTCTCTCAGAGCTGTCTGCATCTGGCCATATGCTCAGCCTGTCCTTAAGATGGAGAAATGACTGTCACTTACGCTCTGCACCAGCTCATCTCCAACCCTTTTACTACTCTACCCCTGCAATCAACTGTTAGCTCCTCGCTGGACCATTCTGAACAACTACAATCTAACCCTGGTGGGCCCTCCCCTGACCGCACATTCATCTGCCAGACCCCTCCCCATGTGTATCTGTGTGTGGTCACAATGTGAGTCACAGTGAGCACGTCAGGGTCAGGACAATTTGCAGGAGGCAGTTCCACCATGTTGTTTTGAGCCAAGCTCAGTTCAGGCTTGGTATCAAGTGCCCTTACCCTGTAAACTGTCTGACCAGCCTTACCACCATCTCCTAATCACATTCTCGTTGCTTCTCCTTAGAGCTGTTTGTCTACTGCCTCCACCTCCTATCCTTCCAATGAGATCCCCCACAGTACAACACTGGTCCTGTCTCAATGCTCCAATCAGGTTACAGTTCAGAGGGTGGTCACAAATCACCATGCTGCCACGCCCCCTCTGGAGCATCCAATATAATTGCCATTCCTTCTCCACCAGGTTCTCTCCTTCACTGGATTTTCCTTTTGGGAATTTATTATATGTGGCTTGGCTTATTACTTATGGGTGTCATAACTAGTCTACCAGCTCCATGAAAGCAGAAACTTTGTCTTCATCATTCATTATTTTAGAATGTTTTATATACTATAAATTTCACCCATTTTAAGTTATAATTCAGTTTTTTAATTGAGACAGGGTCTTACCGTATAGCTCAGGCTGCCCTAACTTTTGAGTTTCCTACCTCTGTCTCTAGAGTGCTAGGATCGTAGGCGCACCACGGTGGCCACTTATGTGGCTAGCTGTACAATTTTGTATTTCCACCAGCAGCAATTTGCAAGATTTCCTATTGTTCTACATTGTCACTAGCATTTGATATTATCTCTGCAATATGCTCTCTCAATGTACAGTTTCCCTAGTAACCACAAAAGACATGAAGCATCTTAGTGTGTGCTTGTTCAACATTTGTATTACCTTCTTTACTGAAGTTTCTGTTGCTAATTTAACATGGGGCATGGATATCTGCACACCATGTGCATGCCTGGTGCCATGGAGGCCAGAAGAGGGCGCTGTGAGGTGGGGCTGGGGACAGAGCCCAGGCTCTCTGGAAAAGAGTGCTCTTAACCACTGAACCATCTCTCCAGTCCCAGGCTTTCCATTTTTTAAATAGTATTTATTATTAGAAATACAAAAGTTTCAAATCCTGATGAGTCAAACTTAACTTTTTCCCTTTTATGGATTATACTTTGGATGCTATAGCTAAAAACATTTTGCTTAACTCAAGATCTAGAATATGCTCCACTCGAAATATTTATAATTTAAAGCTTACATTCCTTTTCTTTTCTTCACAGATTATAAAGTAAAAGTCCAAATCCCTATTTCCAGTCTTTTCCTGGGAAGAGACCACCCTCTCTCCACTCAAGAGCCCCAGCACTTTTGTCCCCAGTCAGACAACTGGCCATAAACATGATTTGGAGCTGGGCATAGCGGTGGAGACTCATAATCCCAGGAAGAGGACAGGAGGATTTTTTGAGTATGATACTGGCCTTGATTACATAATGAGTCCTAGAGCAGCCTGGCTACCTAGGTGGCAAGACCCTGTCACAAACAAGCAAAGGCTGTTTCTAGACTGCTGGTTCTGGTGAACTGATCTGCTTATTAATTCAGCACAAACTGCCTTGATAATTACAGTTTTAGAGTAAGTTTTGCAATTGGGAAAATCACAGGTTTAGCCTGTTACCGATTTATATTATCTTTATATTACCATTTAAATTTCGACTTTGTCACTTTCTGCAGAAGCCTGCTGGATTTTGACAAGATTCCATCTATAGAGCAATTTAAGGACAACTGCCATTTTAACAACATTGACACTTCCAATTCAAGAATTTGGAAGGTCTTATCATTTCTTCTTTCCTTTCCTTTCATAGTGTTTTTTAGGTACATGTCTTACCAAATTTACCTAAGTACTGTATTTCTATGCTACTGTGAACATGATTTCCTGTAGTGCACGAACACACATGTGGGTGGATGTACTGTGTACGAGTGTACCTGTAGCACACACGTGGACCAGAGTTCACCTCTGTATGACGTACCTTGTTTCTGTTTCCTGAGGCAGTCTTCCACTGAACCTGGAGCCCTAGGGATCCTCCTGACTTCATCTCCCTGAGGTCACAGGCCTACTTGGCCTTTTTATTTTTTCTTTTCTTTTCTTTTTCTTTTTTTTAACTTTTACACCATGTGCCTGGAGATCAGACTCATGTTCTGCCCTGCTGCTTGCATGGTGAGCACTTAACTGACTGAGCCATTTCCCTTCCTGTGAGTAAGATTTACTAAGTTGTATTTACTGACTGCTTACTCGCTAATATATAAAAATAAATTTTTATATTGATCTATTTTGTGTTTTTACTGGGTTTATCTCATATATGTGTGTATTTGAGTGTGAGTGTGTCCCTGTGTGTTTTATAGTCCTTAACTAAAGATGACAGAATAAAGCAATACAATTAATACTACCAGAAACCTGAAGGAGCTGGGGAGATGGTTCAGCTGGCAAAGTGCTTGCTCCACAAGTTTGAGGACTGAATTTAGATCCCAGCACCCACATAAAAAAAGAAGCTGGACACAAAGGAGCATGCCTGTGACCCCCATACTGGGTAGGTGGAGACAGGCAAGTCCCTTGTAGCTCAATCAGTGAGCTCAGAAATTAAGGGAAAAGGTACATCTTCAGTGCAGACACTTTCCCCTATGACTTTTTGTTTGGTTTTGTTTTTGTGGCAGGGTTGCCTTAAACTCATTCTGTAACTTATGCTGCCCTTAAACTTGTGGTGATCCTCCTGTCTCAGCTCCGCTCCCCCAAGTGCTAAGATTACAGGTGAGAGTCACTATGCCTGGATTCCTTGAATACTTTATCAAAAATATTGACTCTGCAAACAGGAACCCATGGACACCAAGAGTTGACTGCTTCTGTAGTAGTCTAAGGCAGTGGTTCTCAGACGGCCACTACAATTCTGCACATTCAGGCCAAGTTCTAGGTTCCCCAGCTGCTGCGTGTGGGATGTTCCTTCCAATCCTGTGAGTGATCTGCTCAGGAAGTGTGGACACCAGATGTTCCAATCCTGTGAGTGACCAGCTCAGGAAGTGTGGGCACAAGATGTTCTGATCCCGTGAGTGATCTGCTCAAGAAGTGTGAGCACCAGATGTTCTCAGGAAGTACTGTTTTATAAACTACCATCATCTTTTCATAAAGGCCAACTCTAGGCACTTACCCGGCAAAGGCAAAGGTTTTTCCTCTGGCATCTGGATCTTTAACCACATTAACAATCCCTTTGGAAACATCTGAAACCTATACAAATCATAAGACAGATTTAAGCAATTGTTGAGCTAAGATATCAGACCTGGAGAACCAGGTCCGTGATCTTGGTTACCTGGGAAGATGAGGCCGGAAGTATCAAGTTCAAGACCTGGCTGGGCTACACATTGGTTCAAGGCTAGCTTGGGCAACTTGGAACAACATGTCTCAATTTTTTTCAAGTGAGGTGTGAATGCAGCCCAACAGTAGAGTATTTGCCTGACATTCACACTGTCCTGGGTCAACCCCAGGACCACAAACATACATATATAAATGTTTAGGGAGAGATGGAAAGACAGGAAGAAGGACGAAGGGAGAAGGGAACGTAGGGGCTGCAGTCACAGGGACAGGACTGAACAATGACACCAGCTCATCTCAGACACTGTAAGGAACCACCTACCTACTCCAATGTTCAAATAATCATGTTCAAGGCTCATCTGAGTATCGTCCTAATCAGAAGTCCTAAGTCAGCCTAAGGTCTTCCTGACATGGCCAGGCCAAAATCTCACCCACGTGATCTCTCAGCACTGTTCCCCACTCTGTCCTAAGTCACCATAACCTAGAGGTTGAACCACATGGAGCTGCCGATACTCTGCCATTCTGACTTTCAAAATAGGAACTGTATCCAAGTTTAGACCCAGAGACCTGAATCCACACCAGAAATTGTCAGGAAACTGCTGACAACTATATGGAAAAAATTCTTGTCACAGAGGGGTGGGGTATTCTGCTTCTGGCATCTACTGACTAAAGGACAGGGGGGCTGCTCAACATCCCACAGTGAAGAACTGAATAATTGTCTGGCTGGCTCCAAATACCAGCAGTGTCAGTTGGGAAGCTGCTAGTTTTCCTGCCAATAGGACACAAGGGTGGGTCATCTGGAAAGAAGGAATCTTAATCGAGAAAATGCCTCCCTAAAATTGAGTGGTCGGTAGGCAAATCCGTAGCGCATTTTCTTGAAGACTGATGTGGGAGGGCCCAGCCCACTCTGAATGGTGCCACCCTGGGCAGCTGGTCCTAAGGCAAGTCACACACACAAGCCAGCAAGCAGCGCCCCTCCATGAAACCTGCATCAGTCCCTGACTACAGACTCCTGACCCGTCTGAGTCCCTTCCCTGAATTCCCTAAGTGAAGACGTGTAAGAAGTCCCTTTCTTTCCCAACTTACTTTTGGTCATGGTGTTTGTTACAGCAATAGAAACCCAAAGTCAGAAACCCTGGTCCAACCCAGCCCAACCCAGTATGGAACCCAACCTTCTCCTTCACCTCTGAGCCCTTGCGTGTGCAGTTCTCTGTATGTGAAACAGAGCTGCATCAGCTGACTCTGCACCTGTCCACAGCTGGATTTCAAGGCCTCCTCATCCAGTGACATAAATCTCTCCTCCTAGCACTCCTCACATTGAATACTAACTGCTCTATTTCCCTGAGAAGCAAACTGTATGTATCACTGGTTATCCTTTCTGTACTCCCAGAAACCGGGTGTCAGCCCATCATACAAATCATAGGACATGTCTAAGCAGTTGCTGAGCTAACACATCAGACCTGGAGAACCAGGCCTGTAACCTTGGCTACCTGGGAAGATGAAGTCGGAAGTATCAAGTTCAAGGCCTGGCTGGGCTACACTGGGTTCAAGGCTAGCCTGGGACACTCGACACCAACTGTCTCAATTAAGCTTTCTCAGGTGAATGGACAACTGAAGACACTGAGAAGTCGTGCACCTCCTAGATAAACTGAGGAAACCAGTTGCAGCAAGTTGACCAAGTTAAAAAATAAAGTCAGTAGGTAGGAATGAAACCAGCAAATTGAACTGAACCTGAATCGAGCTAACACCCATTGCTAAGCCTTCATGCAGGATACTTACATATACTGGTTGTTTCACTGTCTTAAAACCCAAAGAAATAAGAGGCACGCCACCAAACCAACGAATATCTGGAAGAAGAAACAAGAAACTGTCCTGAGAATACATAATAAAAATAATGTAAAAAATACATCAGACGCCGAGGATTCTGGACTGAATAAACAAACAATTAAGTAGAAAGGGGGCTGGGTTGTGATGGCCCATCCATAAATAAATAAGTAAGAAAATAAATAAATAAATAAATGAGCAAGTGAGTGAATAAAGAGGGGCTGGGTTGTGAAGGTTCATAAATAAATAAGAAGCAAAAGCAAACAAACAAATACGTAAAAAGGTTGTGGTGGTGCATGCCTTTAATTCCAGCACTCAGGAAGCAGAGGCAGCATCTCTAAGTTCCAGGCCAGCCTGGGCTACAGGGGAAGAGTGCTGAACAGTAGCATTGTCTCCCTGGTTCCTGAGTGTAGACATAATGCAACAGCTGCCTCACCATCCTACCGCCATGCCTTCCCCACCATGGTGGACTGCAGTCCCTCAAGGTGTCAGGCAAAATGAGCCCTTCCTCCCCATGGTGCTTCTTGCTGGGTCACAGCCATAGCAATGAGAATGTGGCCAGCACAGCTTCTTCCTGTCCACATGGCTGTCAAGCCCTCGAAGCTTCTAGCCAAGCCTACAGCCAGCTCCAATGCTACCTCAACCTCCTCATACTGTAGCATTTAACCTCTCCACACACAGATCTGCCTAGTCTGTTCAGGCTGTTACAACAAAATACCACAGACTAGATGGCTTAAAAACCCAAACTGTACTTTCTCCCAGCTCTGGAGGCTGGAAAATGCAAAGCCAAGGTGTCAGCAGGTTCCTGGTGAGGCTCTCTTTCTGGGTTGTAGGTGGCCATCTTCTTACTGTGTCCTCACGTGGCCTCTCTCTCACCAGTCACCAACCCACATCAGTTAGTACCTAACCCTTACGACATCATGTAGCCTAATGACCTCCAAATCCCTTTGTCCACATCGAGTTACAGCAGGCATTAAAGCCTCAACATAAAGAACTCACACATGATAAGGTTTATATTTTATATTTTATATAGTGTATCATGATTTAAAAACAAAGTGGAAATCACTGCAGAATTCCAGCTGGCACAACCAAGAGGGAGATATAGAAAAGCTGCATAAACAGATGGGCACAGCCACACAAAGAAACAAGTCCACAAGAGTCAGGGACAAATCCTAAATACATATAAAGGAAAGAAGGCAATTTGAAAAGGCTTCATGATGTACGACTATAATATCGTAGTATTTTGAAAAAGATGCAATAATCAACCAGGCCAGTAAAAAGATAGCGGTGGGCAGGTGTCCAGAATGGGGATAAGGGAGAATTTGTAGAACTCAAAAGATTTGCTCGTATCTTGCCAAGGTCACAGAGTTACTGAGTTTAAAGTTTCTGGCTCTGAAGCCCATGCTCTGGGCCAAGCATGGAGGGAAGTAAATCTGTACCTCCCTAAATCCCCAGCACAACATCTAACCAGACTCTCATTACCCAGAAGCAGAAAGGACCTCGCTGACGAGGAAAATGAAACTCCAAAGCGGAAAGGTAACTGAAGAGGACCAGAACTCGGTCTGGGAGCTCAGAGAGCACTATCAGCTGGTGCTCAGCTCAGCTGTGCTAAGCCACCAGGACTCCTCTCTTCTGGGAAGAAGGATGCATACTTGCAAAGTGATTGAGGAACCTGTCCTCCCTTCCAAAGATGTCAGACGGCCGTATGATGGTGGCTTCAGGAAACGCACTTCTCACTTCTTTCTCTCCTACCGCCTAGACAACCAAAAACAAAAGATGTTCTGAGTTCTTTGGCAGGTGCTAGGGCTTTCCCCTTCCCCACTACCAGAGACTACTTACATTTCCAAGGCCCTATTTTCATTAGGTAACCATATTTTGGAAATAATCATATTATTCAAAAAGCTCAATTAACAGAATGTTATAAAAACACATGAGAGACAAAACAAATACCCCACACCCGGAAATTCTGTAGATGCTCTTCCTATTCTTATGCTAGGGAACCCTACAATGAAGGGAGACTGGATGCTTTTTCAGCCTTCAGTTTCTTTCTCTTGTTTACAGACTCTCTGCTTTGTGTCAAGAAGATTGCAGCCTGCCAGAGAAACAAAATCCAACCCCACCACAAACTCTTCCCTCCCACCTCTCTCTCTTGCCAGGCCAGAAAAAACTAAGCCCACCCTTGCTGGACCACACCAAGCTCCCATTTCACTCACTCTGACTCTGAATTCTGCTTCAACAACTTCAATATCTGATCTGTAACCACTTTTGACGAGATCACAGACGCCCACAGATCTGACACTGCAGTCCTCCTGACTGCTCAGTGACACTCACAATACCTCTTCCCTCCTGGAATGCAGCCTTCCGGGACACTGCTCTCTCTGGCTTCCTGTCTACCACACATGTCCCCCAGTCCTGATACCAAGTATCCCTCCCCCACCATACTGTCAGCGTTTGCATGCCTTGGCCCCGTTCAGAGCTCTCTTCTCAGCCAGCCTGCTTATACCTCACTCTTCTTCTAATGGCAGATTCTGCTGACTCTCAACTCTCATCTCCAGCACAGATCTCTCTTCTGAGCTCCAGGGTCAGAAGCCCTGAGCAACTGGGACATTGCTGAAATGTAAGTCCAAAACCTGCCCCCTGACATTCTCTCAAGGAAAACAGTGCCTCTTAATCTGTGCTGAGTTTGATTGGTGAGAGAGTAGAACAGATACTAATTACACTAGCAAAGTGTCATGCTCTCCTGAGGCTGCTAAGAAGCTGGATCTGGAAGCAGAGCTGACCCCTGCCCCTACCGCAGACACAGCCTGTTGATGCCAAGTACTTTTCAAACACCCCCTTTTGTGTCTGGCTGAACTCTTGGTTCTGTAAGGGAGGTGGGAAAATAGCAGCGGCTATTGTGTCCTTTAGAAAAGCTAGAGGGTAAGCAATTTCCAACAGAGATTACTGCTGTTTCTCTCAAGGTATAACAATGCCCTGCATTGGGAGGGAAGCCGGAGGTCATCCCGGAGAATGCTCTGCTCTGCTGGAATCTCCATCAGGAAGTCCCACGTGAGTTAGCATGGCTTCCCCAGTCATTTCTGCTGGAGACCTGACCATGCCATCTGCTGCTGTTTGTCCTTTTATTTGGAAGCCTCCTTTGAGGGGATGTTCTGCTCCACCTGGGTCTAGAGCACAGATAGAAATTCCAGCTGACCTTCGCAAGAGGGCTTCCCCAGGTGGTTTCTGCTGGACGTCTGTCTGGTGGCCCTAGTTTGGTGTGTTGCTTTGTTTGCTCTCTCTTTGGGCTAATCCAGTTCTCCCAGCTGGACTCTGTGACCATCTGATTTGATGACATTCTGACATCTACCTGTTACTTCCCGCTATTTGTGGATAGCCATTGATTCTTGTATTTCCACTTGCTATACACTTAAAAAAAACTCTTTCATTCAAAACAAAAAGCACAGTTCTCACAGATCATTTTATAGATTACACAAAATAGAGTTGAAAGCCAAATTCCACCCCAAAAGATTCTGCTTTAGTTGGTCAGGGGTACAGACTGGGCATTGGAATTTTGAAAAAAATCTCCCTGCAGCTGGCAGGGATCATTTCCCCTGGTAGACTAGAGTCCTAATGAGGGCTTGGGTCACATCTATTTGATAAGCAACAACATGCGATTTACAGCATATGACTGGTGCTTAAAAAACAATTTTCTCAATAAATATAAGCCTTGGAACACAAACCTGGAGTCACTATTAAGAACTCTGTTGTTCTTGTCAGGATGACACGAGACAAGCCCATTGTGGCAGAAGACAAATGCTTATGGGTAGACCCAGACACTAATAAGCCCGGAAAAAGATGACACTTAGGTTCCAGATGGACTCTGAGCCACGGTGGCCAAGCCCAGACTCTAGGGGAGTTTGCAGGAGGAAGATGAACGATGCAAAGAGCATTTTCTCTGGCACTACCTACTCCCCTCAGTCTCAGCCTTTGCACTGCCCGGGGGCGACTGGCAGAAACTGGACTCCAGAAGGTTCAAGAGGACAGAGGCTCCCGTAATAACAGGAGCGGACCCAGGCCTGTCTCCTTTGGCCGGAATCATACCCTACTTTTCCTGCTGTTTGCTGTGTCTCCCACAACCTCAAGCATCTGGAGGCAGTAATACAATCTATCCATATATGAGACCCTTCAACAGACCATTCAACCAAAAGGTCACAACACATGTAAAGCAGCTGGAGCTGTGGTCCAGGGATAGAGCATTTGCCCAGCAAGGCCAAGGCCCTGGGTTCAGTACTCAACATCAAAAACCAAACAAATGAAAACCACAACACAGGCACACCTGGATCTAGAAGGACAATGAAAGACCCTCTAACATCTCAACACACGGTGGAGAAACACTTCTCTTTTTCATCAGGTTCCAAAGCATTTCCCATGCCTGTGCAGCACCTGCTGAGCTCCCAGCACTCACCTTGCTCCTCAGGTACCTAGAAGAACTCTTCATGCTGGCATTCAGGTGTGAAACATGAATGAATCTCTCAACACCAGCTTCCTTGGACACCTGAGCTATTGTTTGAGGAATCGTCACGAAAACGTCTTCAAAATCAAAGTTTCTGGAAGAAAAGGGGGAGGCAGTTAAGAATTCAAGAAAATTCAGGATTTCAAAGTTTTCTATGCTACTTTGATTTTCGTGACAGTATTTGAATTTGTAACAATTGCCAGGTGGTGGTGGTGCACACCTTTAATCTCAGCACTTGGGAGGTAGAGAGAGAGAGAGTTCGAGGCCAGCCTGGTTTACAAGAGATAGTTCCAGGACAGGCTCCAAAGCTACAGAGAAATCCTGTCTCAAAAATAAAAACAAACAAACAAACAAAAAAAAAAAAAGAAAAAAAGGTAGCAAACTTTTAAACAGTAATGCCTTAACCCTTAACTTTAAGTCAAAAGTGATTTCTCCCAAGGTTTCCAGCCCTTCTTATTGTCAATAAACTTACCTAGAGACTTATTCAAAGTTATAATCAGCACAAGAAGTACTTTATGTTCTCAAGGAGTCTTGGGGCCAATGAAGGCACATCAAGAAAACCTGACTATCCTGGCTAGAGGGAAGCGAGGAAGTGCTGGGGTCTGGAAAGGGACTCACTTCTCATTTGTGAAACTTGGTTTCCCTAAAGAGAAAAAAATTTAGCTATGGCAGGGCCAGACCTCTAATGCTGGCTACTTGGAAAGCTGAGGCAGGGGTTCACAAGTTCAATGCTAGCCTGGGCTATAGAGTGAGCTCAAGACCAACCTGGGCAACTAGGCAACTTAGTGGGATCTCATCTCAAAATGAAGAAGAAAATGAGCTCAGTGGTAAAACACATGCCTGGTGTAAGGAAGGCCGAGTCCAGTCCTTAGTATTGGGAAAGAAGAAGGGAGGGAGGGAGGGAGGGAGAGAGGGAACGATGAATAGAATGAAGGAAAGAAGGAGGGAGGGAGGTTGGGACAGAGGGAGTGAGCTATGCCACAATTCAATACCTAACACTAGCTGAATGATTATCCTGTACAAACCACTATGCTAGTCCCTACCAGAGACATAAAGGAAGTCACCAAAGAATTTAAACTATTTAATGAAACAAGCATACTAAAAAAAAATCTAAGTCAGACACTTACTAAATGCTAAAGGAAAAACGTGTGAACAAAGGGCCATGAAAGAATCAGAGTAAAACAATATTTGGGCCAGTGCGGCAGCACACACCCATAATTCTAGCACATGCAAGGTGGAAGAGGAGAAATACAAGTCTACAGCTAGCCTGGGAATCACAAGACCCTGTCTCAAAAGACAAAATAATACTAATAACAATAAGCCATTATTGATAATCCTCACAAAAACTAAACAATATTCGAATCAGTTAATGACGCAAAGAGGCAATCTAAAAGACTGGAGAACAGTGGAACAAGCAAATCCTACATCCTAATTCTGCCCCAGATTGACAGGTTCGAGCAAAGTCAACACTGATCACTGCCAAATTCCCATCACCAACCACACTGACATGATGCATCATCCCACTAACATCCAAAGGACATATACCAATGAACCTTGTCACCATTACTGACGAGCTGGCTGAAACTGACACTAAGATCCCCAGCACACAGAAGTCCCTGGTAAATGTCACTGAACCCTAAGACTTACGCAAAGAAGACAGGAGGGACCAAGACTTACCTGGTTTCCCAGTCCCGCCCAATGAGATTGATGACCACATTGCTGTGCTGCACCGCTCTCCGGATAGAATCTTTGTCTCTTGCGTCCCATTCCTGCAACAGCAGGAACCAATCAGATTAAAACACACGGGAATACCTCAACACGTACAGCAACTTTCAGAATGGTCATCTACCATTGTACAAATAAGGTTCCATTTCACAGAGACTCCACTGATTTTAACAAATGAAGCTGATGTCTCAAACTCCCTGCTCACCCTCCTCCACTCTTCCTAGACAAGGCAGTAAAAGTATATGTCATTCATGACATCAAACACTGGAAAGAGGCAGCTCATATTTAATGGTGTGTATTTAGTGGGGCACACTTGGGTCATTTGGCCCAAGCTGACATGCAGCTCATTATGTAGCCAATGACTGAGGCCTCAGTCCCAAAATAATCACACAGAAACCATATTCATTAAATCACTGCCTGGCCCATTAGCTCTAGCTTCTTATTGGCTGACTCTTACATATGAATTTAACCCATTTCTATTAATCTGTGTATCGCCACATGGCCGTGGCTTACTGGCTAAAGTTCCATCTGGCTCCGGCAGGGCTACAAGGCTTCTCTCTGACTCCTCCTCCTTTCTTTTATTTAAATAGGAAAGGGGAAGTGATGTGGGATTCCCCTTTGTATGCTGTGAATATGATTGATTAATTAATAAAGAAAACTGGCTTGGTTTGATAGGGTAGTACAGAGCTAGGCAACGAAAACTAACTGAATGCTGGAAGAAAGAAGGGCAGAGTCAGAGAGAAGCCTTGTAGCCCTGCCAGAGCAAGATGGAACTTTAGCTGGTAAGCCACAGCTGCGTGGTGGAACACAGACGAATAGAAATGGATTAAATTAATATTTAAGAGTCAGCCAATAAGAAGCTAGAGCTAATGGGCCAAGCAGTGATTTAATTAATATGGTTTCTGTGTGATTATTTCAGTTCTGAGCACCCGTGACAAACAAGTGGCCTCCTTACTACAAATTAAAGAAGCAAGTATGATTTGGGATGTAAGCAAAACGGGCACCCGCCACTGGAAATAGCCAAAGGGAGCAGCACCAAACTAGGAACTCAGGACAATTTCCTTATTTCTCTTCAATTCTTTCCTTATTTATTTACCTATTTACTTTCACTGTAGTGCTGGAAATCCAACCTAGGGCTTCATGTAGGTAGGACAAGCATTCTACCAACTGAGCTACATCTCCAGCCCCTAACGCTCTTTATAATAGCAGATCTATTTCAAAGACATGAAAAGAAGAATTAAAGAAATGCAGTGTCTAAAACTTCAAGTTTTTGTTGTTAACATTGCTTTACAATAGGGTCTACATAGCCCAGGCTAACCTTGAATGCCTCCTCCCCTCCACTGCTTAGACTATAAATGTGTGCCACCCTGCCTGGCTCTTGTTTGTTTGTTAAGGCGGAGTCTCACTCTATTCCTGAATGGCCTAGTGCTCACTATGCAGTCCAGACTGACCTCAAACTCACAATTATCCTCCTGTCTCAGACTACTACTATGTGCTGGGATTGCAGGAATGAGTCCTCACCTCTGGCACAATTATTTTAATATAGAAATTCTGTTCTTTTTTTCCCCTGACATTACAATTCATAGTCACCATCGACGAGTTTATGAATTGAGCTGAAAATCTACGTGACCTATAAGCAGCTCACCATTCACTGGACAGATAAAGAGCCCATACAACCTAAATCACTCCCAGGATTTAGGAATTGCTAAATCACTCTTTAGCTCTCTGGCAACCCCTGGTCTGAAGAGCCCAAAGACCAAAGGTAAAGGCGATGGGACACTGAGAAAGGGCTGCTTCAGAGCTAAGGTCACACCAACGGAAACAAGCTCTTAAGCTTCTTCCCCATGATTCTGCTTGTAAAACCACCTTAGAGTCAAACCATGAGGCAGATGTCACAAATAAAAGAGTAAACACAAAATCAAGAGAAATTCTTGTTAATATTTTCTTTCTCCCAATAGATCTCAAATCTTCTCAATATGTAATAATAATTAACAAAAAAATATTAGCATATACTGAATATAATTTTTTCATACAGTCTTTGAAATCTATATTTTTATCTTATAGTACATCTCAATTTAGACTAGCCACAATTCATGTGCTCAACAGCCTCACATGGCTAATTGATGGAGGAAGGTCATTGGCTAATAAAGGCACTGCCCTGGCCCATTTTATTGGTTAGAGGATAGGTGGGAGGAGTAAACAGAACAAAATGCTGGGAGGAAGAGGAAGTGAGCTCAGAGACTACACAGCTCTCTCGGGAGCAGACGCCTCAGAGAGAGACGCCATGCCCCGCTCCCGGGATGAAGCTCCGACCCAGGATGGACTAGGCTAGAATCTCCCCGGTAAGCTCACCTTGGGGTGCTACACACAGATGATTAGAAATGGGCTAAATTAATATGTGAGAATTAGCCTAGAAGAGAATGGGCCAAGCAGTGATTAAAAGGATATAGTGTCCGTGTAATTATTTCGGGGCATAGGCTAGCCGAGCAGGCGGCTGGGGTGCTGGGAACGCAGCCCCGCCGCTCTTATTACTTCAGCTAATGTCTACCACACAGAAGCAAACAAGAGCCAACAGACCATGTCAACCATACAACCTAGTTAATAAAGTAAGACCAGAGTACAGCTATATCCATTCACTTACATACTGCCTGTGACTGCTTTGGGACCATAAGAGTGAGCTCAGCAGCTCTGACAGAGATTCTATGATCTGCAAATTGCAAATAATCGTTATCTAGTGCTATACGAAAACAGTTTGCTCATGGTCAGACTAGGGCTTGCATGCTAAAACAGGAGCTGCAGGATCCTAGCAGAATTGAGGATGCTCTAAGTCTGGGGTTAAGCTACTGCTTTATTACACTGCCTCTCACCCCTAACGATGACCTCGGAAATTACATTAATAACTCCAATGCCCAGTACAAAGGCTTACCAGAAAGATAAGCTGGCCCAGGTCACCCATGGGGCGAAGGTGCATGGTGTCATATATGTCACACCGATACGGTATGATCACTTGTGACCCCATTCGTCCTAAAAGATGAAGGGAAACAATCAACATCAACATGACATGGGTATGATACCCACTAGTGACTGAGAAAATATCAAATTCTAATGTGATAGATTAACTTAATGCTTAATAAAAAGTGTATTCTGCCATACCAAAGAGGCCATAACTTCTCAGTGTATTGTATTCCCATAACATCCTATAGAGGAAGCATGGATGTTCTCTCAATGCCAAGGCAGATAAAATTTATATACTTCTAAGACAGAAGTAACTTGTCATATCATTGAAACAAAAACACCTGGCTCACAGTCTCAAGCGGGGAGATCTTAGTTCAGGGCAATGGAGGCCACTGAACTAAAAGAACCTGACTCACCAAGGGCGTTGACAACATATCGACCCAGGAATCCTGTGGCTCCAAACACAGTGGCCACAACTCCACTGACAGATGAACGGCCACCTTGCCCATGAGGTATGAGAGCATGATGAAGCTGGCGATGGGATGGGCCACGAAACACAGACGTAGCAGCTGCAGCGATGGCAGGACCTTCAGGAAAACAACAGAGTCAGTAAACATGGCGCATGTTATCATGAAAAAAACCAATAAATAACAGTTTCTTTCTCTAGAAATTACCAATAAATAACAGTTTCTTTCTCTAGAAATTTATAACTATTTTGGGAATGGTACTTTAGGGATTTAAGTACCAACAACAGTAAACATAAATTATTGTAACATAAAAGCTATAGGAAATATACAAAACTAGAAAGCAAATACCATGTCGTATTGGGTATATAACCTTAAGTCATATTAAAGTGTTTTGAGAAAGGTTTTAAAGAAGAATAGCAAAGACTGGAATCCCATTAGAAACACAGAACATACACAAGCAAGGAGAAGTAAGAATGAGTAAGACTGGAGTGGAGAAACAATGAAAGACGGTCTGGACGTGACTGAAACGCGACGGCAGGAGAGAAGCAAAGCTGATGATGTGGCTGGAGGCAGAAGACTATTGGTATCTCAAAGGGAAAAAGAAAGAAAAAGGCTGGAGCTAGCTCAGTAGGTAAGGGGTTTGCTATGAAGGCACAAATCCCTGACACTCAATGTGTGTGTGTGTGTGTGTGTGTGTGTGTGTGTGTGTAGAGAGAGGGAGAGGGAGAGAGAGAGGGAGAGGGAGAGGGAGAGAGAGAGAAGAAAAACCTGCCAAGCACGGTGACACTCATTTGTGACCCCAGTGACAGGTGATAGAGAGGCTGTCTCAACAGGCGAACCCTTAGAGCTCAGTCAAGTCAACTTAGCCAAATCAATGACTTCAGTGAAGGATTCTGTCTTAGGTAGACAGACAAGGTTGAGAATGATTAAGGAAGACCCCAGACATTGACCTCTGGCCTTCATATGCACACACATTCACAAGTACCCATACATACATATGTCCACATATATACACTCCTATCCAAAATAAATACATATACAGAAAGCAAAAAGAGTGCAGTTTGGATGTAAAAATCACTGAAAAGCAATTTTTGGTAGGGGGTTGGTAAGTATGTAAGTTGGTGCAACTAAGACAGAAGCAGGTATCCACAAGAGGGCGCCACCTCACCCGAAGGCCTTAGGCTGCAGTTATCCACCCTTCAAAGCTTTTCTTAGTTACGGTAAATGAACATCAAAGGAATGCTTGGCAAAGGGGTATAAAACAGAAAGGCATGGTAGTTCACACCTGTAATCTCAGTACATGAGAGGCTGAGGCAGGAGGATCATTGTGGGTTCAAAGACAGTTTGGACTCTATGTAGGGAATTCTAGGGTAACCTAAGAAAAGACTGGGGCACAGGGATGTCAGACTCCCCAGCTGACAGCTGCTGGACTTCTTCTTGCTGCTCCGATTACCCTCATCGAAAAGATTATCAAACAGCCGCCCGCCCTTACTGCAGCAGCAGTGGTCCTGCATATTCCATGATGCCTCGAGAAAACTACACAGCCGAAGCCAACTGCCTTGACCCGAGAGCCTGCCTCAGTCAGGCTACTTGAAAAGCCTGTGCCAGACTTCTATGCTATCACAGCCTAATTCTAGGACCCTGCAACCATTTCCACCTAGACCAGGGCATAAGCACAGAGAGCCTGCTGTGACTGATACTAAAAAGGATAGGCTGGGATTGCTGGGAGCATCTCTGCCTATCTCGCCTGGCTCATTCGGCCAGTCTCCTGAAAGACACACTTCTGTGGTTTCCCCCAGTAGTGTAGCAAAAAGGGTTTAGTAAAAGGCTTCTTCTGGGTAGCTTTTCCTGTCCACTGGCAGAAGTGTGGGCTAAGTTGGTAACACGAAGGTAGAAGCAGTAGAAATGGCAAAGAAGTGGCGATGGAAGAGGCGGTGGCACAGGGACGTCTGACTCCCTAATTGGCAGCTGTTGGACTTTCTCTTGCTGGCCCCAAAGCTCTTTCCAATGATTCTGACATGAAGCGATCTGACAGCCAATGATATTCGATAATGAGTAAATGCACTATGGAAAAATATAACTCAAGTGGACACGCTTTGTGGGGCGGAGGAGTGAAGATGGGGAGGAGCGACGACTGATTGCTTTGCTTCTTCTGGAAGGAAAAAAAAAATGCTTGCTTTGGAACTGAGGACTGAGAACAAATCCAACCACAACAGAAGAGTAAGCAAGCAATGCCGCCACGTCCTAAGCTGTCTTCCACTCTTCTGCGCTCCTCTTTCCACCCGGCTCCCAATTCTTTCTCCACAAACATTTCTCTCTGCGACAGACCCTGGCGCCACAACCTAACACAGTCTCCATCCGGAGAGGCGCGGATCGTGGTTTCCATTGATTACTACCGTGAAGCCAATCGATGTCCTACTGTGTGACCCCCTTTCCCTCCCTGAATTTTCCTTGACCTCAACCTTCCCAACAATCTCCATACTAACTCGAGCTTTAAAGCGTTCAGGTTCTCCTCGTCCCTCCCTGCTACTCCAGCTCCCCATCCCCTTCTCGAGCGCACAATTTCACACATGAACCTAGGGTATGAGGAAGAAAAGTTAGGTTCCCCTCGGGGAATCGGACCCTATGCGGCGGTGCCCGGTGACACTTACGTGACATTGGCAGCGCTAGGACAACCCGGGAGCGGACGGCGGTCGCCATCTTCTCCCACAATGCCCCACGGCTCGAGCTTCCGCCAACTACGGCAATAACGCGGGGCCAAATGGTATTCGCCGACCTCTCTGCGCAGGCGCCGACTGAGAACGGACCTGGCGGCTTGCGATGAGAATGGAGTGAAAGCAGACGAGAGGAGAGAAAAAAGAAAGGAAGGGGAAAACCGAATCCCGGTTCTGGAATGGGCTGTGAAGATCATCTTATATTGCTGTGGAGTCTGCAGTTCAGACTCAACCAGGGATTGACTCCGGGGCATGCAAAATGGCCCGCCTTCAAAGTCCAGCACTTGGTGGGCTATTACCCGAGAGTCAGGCAGCTCTGCCGGCCTGGGGCTGGGATGGAGGAGACGTAGCCCCGCAGTCGCGAAGTTGCAAGAAGGAAAAACTTTTCAAGCAAAGCGAGGGTCTGCGCGGAGTGCACAAGTGGAGAGGAGAAATAGGAACGCAGAGGCGCCCTCTCTCTCCCTGCTGCCGAAGTAAGTGCTCGTGGATGCCTTCAAGAACGAACTTTCTTTGGGGCTCTAGTGCTCACTGTCCCAGGTCATAGAATGCTTGCTTAGTTGTCTGCACCAATCCAAACCTACACATAGGTGACCTCTCCAAGGACTCTGACCTTTCCAGGGTGGTGATCAGTCCCCTCTCATGAGCTTTGGTTGGCTGGTGTTTATGTGTTTATTTGGTTTTGAATTTCGTTTATAGAAGCACACTAACCGGACCTATGAATCTGAAGTTCTTTTTTGGAATTTTGAGACAGGGTCTCCTTATGAAGTCCTGGTTGGCTTCGAACTTGTGATATTCACGGCACTGCTTCAGGCATGAGTCACCACCCCAGGCGACTTACTAGAGATTCATAAATGGTTTGAAACACGAACGTCCTCAAATGTGATATAATATCGCAAGTCATGCTTGACATTCAACAGTTTTTCTATGGGAATAAAACGGTGGTGGCCTTACCCAGAGCAGGTGTTCACTTTTCAAACTGGGCCTCTTTGAAAATCTGTATTGTTCTAGAAAGAGATACCTGGAGCCTGAGGATGTTCTGAGAAAAGTAAAAAGCACTTGCATTTTAAAGTCTTTTTCAGGATATGGTGGTACACACCTATAATCCGAGCTCTCGGGAAACAGAGGCAGGAAGACAGGGAGAGAGAGTTCCAGGCCAACCCAGGGGACCTTGTCTCAAATTTAAAAAAAAATTAAAAGCTTCATTCCAGTCACCCTTGATATACTCGAGTAGAAGACAGCCCACTTGTAAAGTTCCCAGAAAGAAGTTCCAAGGACACTGAACATCCTAGAAATTGATTAATTGATTAGAACCTTAATGATACTGGAGAGGGTGGAATGTTACAGACTCAAAGCCAGATTATCGTGGCCTATCCTTAGCCTTCTAAACAGCCATTTATTTTCCACCTTTGTGTGCCCTGACGTCCTTCTGACTGTCTCCTGCAGTCTTCGGGGATGTATCAGGACCATTAGATTCCACTAATGCAGAGCTAAAAATGTCATCAGAGCTCATCTGAGGTCCCTCTGTATCCGGGGTTCCCTGATTTACTATAACCCACTCTCCTGATGCTTCAGCACATGCATCTGAAAAGTGTTTATTTGTAACTCTTTTTTTTAAAATATTTATTTATTATGTATACAATATTCTATCTATGTGTATGCCTGCAGGCCAGAAGAGGGCACCAGACTTCATTGCAGATGGTTGTGAACCACCATATGGTTGCTGGGAATTGAACTCAGGACCTTTGGAAGAGCAGGCAATGCTCTTAACCACTGAGCCATCTCTCCAGCCCTATTTGTAACTCTTTTTGTTCTGTTACTACAAGAACTTTCATTGTTGGACCATGAAACTTAGGATAACCTGGATTTGGTCACTCATATCTGGCTCCATAATAAACTACCTCTTGCCCCTCCCCCCCCCTTTTTTTTGATTTTCGAGACAGGGTTTCTCCTTAGCTTTTGGTTCCTGTCCTGGAACTAGCTCTTGTAAACCAGGCTGGCCTCGAACTCACAGAGTTCCCGAGTGGGGGGGATTAAAGGCGTGTGCCACCACCGCCCGGCTTCTTGTCCTTTTTTGAGGAGAGCTGTTTTTTATGTGGTCCCAATAACCCTGTGAAACATACCTCGAGCTTATCAGTAAACTGCCTAGTTTGGGGGAATCATTCTAGACTTGGTCATTGATGACCAAGTGCTCAGTGGAGATGGGATCCATTGTTCATGTCTAAGAAGAAGGTGTGCGTGTGCGTCGCTGGGATAGGCAGTTGACTGGCCCTGCGTAGGGACTGCTTGTGAGTAAGGCTGTTAAGATCTGTATGCTCCCTATTGTTGTTTACTTTTTACTTTATTTACAGAGGACGGAAATGAGGGCACCAGATGTGCAAGGCAAAAGTGCCTCAGTCCTTCTTACTTTGTTTTGCGACAGTGTCTCACTAAGTTACCTTAACCTTAAACTCTTTGTAGCCGAGGCTGACCTTGAACTTCAGTTCTCCCGAGTAGTTGAGGTGCTGTGAGTACCCGTCTACACCTCCAGACCCAGCTCACCCTACTGTTTGTAAGAGCTGTCATTGACCAAATCAAATTAGAAAAGAAACCCTTTAACTGCGAAGCTCAGTAATGCTGAGTTGCCCTGCATTTCTTGGCCTCATCCTTCCTTGGCTCAGAACTCACAATTTAATATATTACCATATTTGTTAATATCACATATCACAATTGGTATATTAACATACTTTCCAAGTTCTGATAAATTGACAGCCCCATCCCCATTTTGCAGCTGCCTTCTAATCTCTGTGTGATAATTGGGTCATCTGACATCTCTGAGCCAAGTGCTGCCTCCTGCTCACACTTGGGGTATCAGGGCATCCTCCAGTAGGGAGAGAGCACTGATCTGAATACCCAGAATATTCGCTCCTGTTCCCGTGACCCGCAAAGTGCTGACAGCAGGTGTGCCCGCTCAGACTCTAGGGAGGTACCCAGTGCAGGGTACCTGCGCCCGGAAAGACTCTGCAGAAGCCAGCAAGCCCCAGCCCCCTCTTTTAATGGTGAAAAAGATCAACAACAACAAAAAAGTGATAGTTGACACATTGCTTTACTGAAGGATGCCGATAGCCAGCCAACTTTCCAGTCTGTTAGGGTTGTTTGGTTTCATGTGTTGGGTTTGGGATTTTGTGGAGTTTTTATTGCTGTTTGGTGTGTGTGTGTGTGTGTGTGTGTATGTGTGTGTGTGGTTTTTGTCAGCCATTGGAACTCTTTCCTTGGTTAGATTGTTACCTGAGATCCAGTCAGCAACAACAGTTACAGAGACACAGTCCTACAGTTAGCGCCATGTCACCAGCTTTGACACAAACAATTTCAGGCTAAGCCAGTGTGAAATAGGATCCTCTCCTCGGCTGCCATCTGAATTTGTTGGTGTTACTCAACTGTTTTAAGTGAAATCCATGGGCTGGAGAGATGGCTCAGCGGTTAAGAGCACTGTCTGCACTTCCAAAGGTCCTGAGTTCAATTCCCAGCAACCACATGGTGGCTCACACCCATCTGTAATGAGGTCTGGTGCCCTCTTCTGGCCTGCAGACATACACACAGACAGAATATTGTATACATAATAAATAAATAAATATAAAAAAATAAAATAAATGAAATCCATTGGCATGACTTCCCTTCCCGTACTCCCCCATCTCAGACACTCAAAGAATTGAATTAATAGGAGAAAGCAAGGCCAGTCCTTCTTTTTTTAATATAATTTAATTTTATTTTATGTACATGGGTGTGAAGGTGTCAGATCCCCTGGAACTGGAGTTACAGACAGTTGTTGGCTATCATGTGGGTGCTGGGAATTGAACCTGGGTCCTCTGGAAGAGCAGTTAGTGCTCTTAACCACTGAGCCACCTCTCCAGCCCAAGGCCAGTCCTTCTAACTAAATGTCCAAAGCCATAAAGTGTATTTCCACCCCTCCTCTTTTCCTATTGAGTACTCAGTCTTAGGCAGCCTCACATTGTTGCTATAGAAACAGTGACGTCACCAGTTGCAATTCTGATGTCACCCCCCTAGTCCCAACAAGAAGGAGGTGCATGGAAGGCTGGGGGAGGAAACAAGATCTTCAGCTGAGCAAGAACATCCCAGCATCTTTATTGACTTTAAAAGTATATTCTGGAATCTTCTGTGGTTCGCTGTTCCCAGAGCTACAGAGGTAGGGAAGCCTACGGGGTTGGTAAGAGAGCCCATTTTCTGATCCCCTGTCGTTAGAAAGAAGACGATGGGCAGCTTTTTTATTTCCAGCTCAGCTTCTTGCTTCTGCCCTACCTGTCTTAATTTCATCTTTGAGTACTGTGGAAATAAGTGGACTCCCTCAGCAGCATCCCACACACCCTCCCTCTTCCTCAAGTTCCTGAGTTACTTACGGTTTGACCTGATATCCCAGGCCATCATTTTGGAGGCCCGAGGCATTTACTCCTTGCCCTCCTCCCAGCGTGATGGTGATGTTGAGAGTAGGGTATATTACCTGCCTGCCGGCTTTTCCAGCTCTCCTGTCTGCCTAACTCCCATGCTCTTTTCTCTCTAAAATCATGCTGGTATAGCTGAGTTAGATTCCTATCCACTTGAAGCCTCACAATTTTTAGAATCGAAGCTTTGGTTAGGCGGCAGAGCACTGGGAATGGGTTTAAGCCCATGGAATAGCATCTGTATGATGGTGCTCTGGGCAAGAAGACACTATAAGGGACAGTAAAGCTAGAGGCTTGCCTCACGAAGGCTTGGTGAGTGCTGAGATGCATAGTCCTGAACTCCATGGTGAGAAAATACCGAGAACTCCAGTGTCCATGTCAACAAGATTTGTTGGGTTTCTACAGTGTCCCAGACAGAACAGACAGAGGAGGAAGATGGGGTGGAGATGAAGGCATTCACCCATATTAAAATGAACACTAAACTTTGCTTGAAAGAGCTTCAGAATATGACCAGATAGATATGAAGCAGCCCCATATGAACCTCATTTATATTGCCTAGAATTTAATCTTTTCAAAAGTTTA